GGCAACAGCAGCTCAGATGTCCGAAATACATGCTCTGGACTTCGAACGAATACGATTTGATGCACATTGCAACATCATACATCTGGGATTGAGATGGGATTTCATAGCAAAGAACCAACTGCCCGGTCAGCCAGACAGACAACTCCACATCCCAGCACTTTCGTCAATCCTTGGGGCACAGGATACTCAGTATCTATCCTTATGTCCAGGCAGAGCATTAAAAGTCTACCTACAAGGTCAAGCGCCTTTTCATCCCTCGAGACACCTACAGAAATCTCACGTACAACAATATCATTATTGATGAGAGCCGTCATCTTAACAGCCTACAAAACAGCAGGACTTGAGCCTCCACGAGCCTCCCATCCTCATGAAGTCAGAGCACTGGCATTGACACTTGATCTACATGGAAACTGTTCCATCTCGACAATAATAGAGGGCTGCTATGGGAAGTCAGAGACGGTGTACTTGCTCATCTCACGTCAGCTGAATATGAACCTCTGGAGGAGAAGATTTCGAACATGTCTCCTTTAATACCTTTGCTCTTGGCCTTGGCTGCAGCTGCCCGTATCTCCGAGTTGCATGCTCTTGATGTCTTGGGTACGGTTTGGAAGGTGTAGACATGCGAGAGTTTCCTTGGTTTGCGGTGGGATTCCCTTGCCATGAATCAGTTACCAGGACAGTCGGATCGCACATTCACGATCCCACTGTTTTCCACTATCTTGGGCACAGATGACATTGAAGATTTTTCCTTATGCCTGGTTTGAGCATTACGGATTAACCTAGCTGCCTCTAAGGACCACTGCAGGTTGCGCAAGAAACTATTTATCCCATTTATACACTGACTCCACCTCTGAAGTCTCCCGTACTACCTTGGTGTTTTTGATGAAATCTACAATCCTGTGTGCATATGACTATGCAGACCTTCCTCCACCTATGACGGCGAACCCTCAGGAGACCCGGGCTTTGGCTTTCACCATGGTGCTTCATAGGAATGTTCCCTCCAGTCCATCACGAAGGGTTGTTTTTGGAAGTCGGATACCATCTTTGCCTCGCACTACCTTCGGAATTCCTCGGTTACAGATGTGGAAGGTCAGCATCAGCAGCGCAGCAGTTGTCATCAACCTGTGTTCGCAGATAAAGCAATCCTTTCTTGATCGGTTTGCTATGTACCAAATAGAAGGTATCGATGTAATCTTGGTACTTTTTTTCTCTTAGATCATTCTCACCTATGGGAATAGGGCGTGTCAGCACTGTCATAAATTATGACTTGATAGACTGTGAGGCAAGTCTTGTGCAACATGCAGAGATGGTCGACATTCCGCTTACTGACCTCTACTCTTTGAGCAATCACGTCTGTGAAGTGTTGATTTCCGATTACCTGTGTGGTTTACGAAGCGTCCTTTCTCACCTTTGGTAAGTGGGGACATCGGAACTGAACGTTAAACTAGTTGAGCAACCGGGCTATTCCTTCTTTCACCGCCTTCCAGCGTGTGTCTGTGGGGGATAGTTTCAAAGCAGGTACTGTCCAGATTAAGGTCCTCGACTTTAAATTCACTGGGGTCACCTGATAAATCGCGGGACGGCGGGGCCTACTTGCAAAACTGCGTCCTTTTGCTTGTCAAAAGTTGCGGCTGAAAACCACATTAATTCGGGAGCGCCCACTCCCTAGAGTTTTTTGTGCTGTGTAAGCCAAGGGGTTACCTGAAAAAACCCATCTCAAGTTTGGAGTTTGCATGTCGGGAGTTGGTGCTTTCTCCTGGCCTCCTTGGGTTAAGCGTTTTTCCCGGTGGTTGTAGTAACGGGGTAATCTGCGACCCGCCTACCAACCGTGGGATTCTGCATACCCTGAGATAGGATAAGTTTAAAAAATTGACAATTTTATAATAAATTGTATATTTCTCACGCGGTATGCCCCACCCGACCTACCCCACATCACAGATTACTGGAAGCTCCAAGACGAGAATGACAGGTAGAGGTGGTCATGTGATCATTTGGACGAGCTGCACACTTTGGTGGATGATTGACGGGCGTTGATGTCGGGATAAGGGCAGAGGTCACGGCGGGTCAGAGGCCAGTTAGATTTGACTCAACTTAGCTGACAGCACGTTTCCACACATAGTCGTAGAAGAGAGAAAAGGTGCATACCGTGAGAGAGGATAAGTTTATAAATATACAATTTATTATAAAATTTTCAATTTTCTCAATTACGTCAAAATGATTCAAACCCCATACCTCTGAACCACACAATAGAATAGGAAGGATTTTTGTGTCAAATATTTTGAAAAAGGAATGATAATCAATATCTACGAGTATGTGAATGCTTTTGAGAACCCCAATAAGTACCTTTTTGCCCTGTGTGGAACAATATTGGGCATCTGCTAAAAAGCCAAGACGATTAGTGAAGTAGACTCCAAGGTATTTATATGATTGTGTGACTTGGAGCGGCTCTCCTTTATAATACCACTTTCCCGTTTTAGATAGTTTGCCCCCATTTTTGAATACAGCTATTCTAGTTTGCTCAAATCAATGCCAATAGGTATCTCTAAATTGCCCAATCAATCTACAGGGCAATAAAGTACATCTAGATGCACAATACATAGTTCCTATGTTTCTGACGCTGTCATTATATAATAAAGCATTAAATGATACATTGCACAATAACGTAATGGAATATTGCGCATTTGCTCTCCGTGGTGAATGAGCCGCGAAGCCTCAAGTTTGGGAGCAACAGAATAAACCGTAAGGATATTACCTTCTCAAAGGAGTTTGCCACACACGTAGTTTAACATTCGACCTGAATCTCAGCTCTGCTCTACTGACAGCCAAGACGTATGGTTGTAGCCCTGAAGCAAGCACACTTACCGCACATTGAGAACGTTCCAAGCAATGTTGACCCTACCCACGATACCTTGACCAAATCGCCATCAACCTCTTCAAGAATGGCCGGTGTAATGACGCCAGGTGAAGAGTTTAGAGTGCCACAGAGCAGCTCAATAGCAAAGCAAGCAACACAAACCACCCATGCATATCCGCAATCAATGTCCTTTCTTTGGCGCTTCATGGTTTTGTTTTCCAACTGACATCCAGCGTTTTGTCCTTTACTCGTGAATTCTTCTTCCTAAAAAGATGAGTACGGTTTGCATCTACTTTGTATAATATTTTTGGCGTGTCAAAGTGGTTCCTGCAAAACAAATAAAAAGGTGATACGGCACGACTTTTAGAACAGTGTTGATTTTTTGGTACATTTTCACACATTCATTTAGTAATATTTGCATGTAGGCCTCGTTATGGAACGTTTTAAAATGTTCAGTTCTTCATATATAAATAGCCATGCCCTTCCATTATCTTGGAAGCTGCGTTATAAATCTAAACTAAATCAAAGTATTGACATTTATGGAATACTTTGTACTCTACTGTATAACGTACAACGGACATAAATGCATGGTAGCTATTGTCGAGCCTTAATGTCGGTAGTTTCAGCGTTGTACGTTTTGCATGACAGAGAGACACAACGTCTAGTAGTTAAGGAAAACAAAATGTAATTCAAACAGTTTAGAGAACAAGACAGTAAACTTGGAAGTGATGTCTTTGTACATTAAAAGCCTCAGTCCCCAAAAACACCCCCAAAATATATTCCCCAAAAAAAAGAAAAAAGAGAAACACAAAAAAACCATTATGATGCCTTCTCCATGCCATGGCGAATCACTAGTGTACTGAACTGGGCGTTGGGTTTTGGCATCAGTTTACAATATTCATAAACGCTTACAATACCAAATAGTGAAGTATGTACGTCTACTATGTGTATTCCAAATGCCTGGAGATATGTATCGCTGACACGTGTTTCCATTACCATTTAACCAAGTGTAAATAATCACTTTCAAACCCTTAACTTGTAATTTACATAAAATTGATCATGCAAAATACATCCCTACAGTTTAAGCACCATTACGAAAGAATATAAATATTTCGTTTCATGAACATAGAATTCAATCGCTTAGCACATAAGGACAGTTTCACATTCCAATTTGGTCAATGTGGTCAGTGCCGCTTAACAAGTTTCCGTGTCAACCCCTCCCAGGAGGAGGGTGACGACTGGAAAAAAATATTACCCACTGCCACGGTAACCGCCAAACTCTCCGCCGTCATAATATGACGCATGCAGTGCCCGGCGTTCGAAAACCGCTCGATTAGCTGTTTGTGAGTTCACTATGTACAGATTTATTTTACTGAGTTCCACTGCTTATTTAAACTATTATATGCATTGAATCATTTGCACACTCAACTTAAACATAATTAACCATTTTATAGCAGTTTGAAGCTTTTCAGTATATGTTTCGCTGATTTGAAAAATCCAGTCGAGAGACAGACGCCATTTTGTCCTATAGTCGGTAGCGATGTTCAAACCAGAATAAAATGATATTTTGTACATTTAACATGGTTGTGTGATAAATAAGTTGTATGCTTCTGCCTTGGGTAATACGGTCTGATGTATGCCTTTTCGTGGCAGTGTCATCCCTACCTGCTCGGATGACATTGCACAAAGAGGCGTGCATCAAACCGTATTACACTCGAGAGAAGCATTCTACTTATAATGTCCGGTGTATGAGTGAGTGATTAATTTACTATTTCAGCCATATCGTGACTAAACACAACTTATAATTGCATAATAAATCATGGTAAATATATAAACCTGTCGGCGAAGGACAGTAAAAATAACTAGAATATGACAGATATAATTATAAAATCAGCATGAAAATCTCAACTGTCTTAACTATGAAATACAATACAATATAAAAAGGGCTATAGATCGCCAACAACTGAAGGCAGATCACCATACTCGGGGCCATGGGGACATACAGTGCCTTTGCTACTTACATGGACCCTAGCTGGATTTACACCATCCCTTCAGCAATTGTAGGAAAGTTAACCCATAATTTGAAATCACAAAAATGCAACGTTTAAACATCGGGTAAGTTTAAATATACTTTGAAAGTGTTAAGACTTACGTACCCTCTCAGGAGGACAATAATATCACGATACTTAAACCCTCTCTGAGGATACAGCCAGTACATTCCAGTGTATGATGCTACATTTATAGCAGTAAACTTCATTGAATTAATTATTAATTAATCATTCTTTTAACAGTAAATCTATGTCACAGCAGGCGTAAACCGGAAATAATCTTCACATATAGTACCCATGTTGGGAATCGAATCTTATTGAACATGGTTGCCGTAAAGCACGTTACGTGATAAACAAAATCACATCGATACTACAATGTATCAAGACACCAGGCTCCATCAATGAGAGATCCCTCCTCATACCTGAACTGCGAAATCGTTTCAGCATTTACATACGATCCCAATCAAATAAAATATTTAGCATCATAAGGTGAATACTCACTGTCTGAATGTTTTCAATATCGATGTTGTGTTTATGTTAAAGGCGTCCTTGTTCAGTGTTTTTCATTTCACTTTCTTTATTATATGTTCCTTGTTAAATGTAACGTGTTTGTTTCACATACAGATCTGGTCTTAAGTAAATAGCTTGGTAAACCCATATACAGCAGCTAATGAAGGGTGTCTTTTGTTTGTACATATACCATATACCTTTTGTTTGTATACTGGGCACATAAGGAAAATGTGCATACAAAAAATTATAATCTAACTTTATCAAACCTGTGTAGACACATAAGGATTTAAACTCAGAGAACAGTGACATGTATCCAACATACATGCACGTACCACGTTCCGTGACGTTGTTGCACGTGCATTCCGAGAAAGAGAAACAGAGCAAATGAATGCCACACAATACTGTCACTTTGGAAAGCTCAACCGCTGCCCTTGCGATCGTTCAAAAACGTAAACGGCTATTGAAACGCATGTATAGGTTTAACATCTCCCATAGTGATGGACGTCAACGTGCCGATAGACGCGTGGGATAACGTTATGCACAGGCCTGTGTCTTGGAGAGGAATCGCTTTGGTGGTGGTTCCTTGATGATTTGGGGTGGAATAACAACACGCCAAAGAACTCCTTTGGTGATTGTTCAGCTTAACTGGTGTGGGCTACAGGGATCAGATTCTTCGACCTGTGGCAATTCCTTTTCTGCAACGTTATGGCCCTGATTTAACATTCCAACAGGACAATGACCGCCCTCATACGGCAAGGGTTGCTATGGATTTCTTGCAACACCACATCGTTGACTTACTGCCTTGGCCTGCACATTCACCGGATCTCTCCCCGATAGAGCATGTTTGGGACGAGATGGATCGACGTCTACGCCGTCTTCCTCATCCGCCAGATAACGTCCTTGACCTTGCAACAGAACTTGAGAAAATCTGGCGTGACATCCCACAAGCATTCCTTGCACGTTTGATGGGCTCTATGCGTCGTCGATGCACTGCTGTTCTCAATGCCGATGGTGGACATACCCGTTATTGAGCTTGTGACATGGTCGTTTGACCTCTGTCCCGCTTGTGGACTCGTGACGTCATTGTGATTGACTTTTCAATTAAAAATTCTCCCGACTTGTTATAGTCTCATGATCCCTCGATTACAGTTTATATGTACCTTTGACATTGTTATCGTACTTATCAACTGGGATAATATCTTGACAATGCACAGTTTCTTTATGTGGCTAATATACATAATCTACATGTTGACCTATTCCTTCCATCTTTTCGTTATGCTATTAGAGAAGCAGAAGTTTCTCATGAATATTGAAAAAGGGTTTATTTCTAGCATTTAAATGTAGGTTTCAATTTCCCGACGCTATTTTGTTTGGGCAAAACAGTGTTGTGTGAATACAATTTCCATGTTTATGACAATATTCCAGACATACGAGAACGGACAACATCTGAGATGTGCTACAGACATTGCATCCCATTTGGGTACTAGAATGCGATAACACTTTATCACTGATATACTCCTTTCCACAAAGAGGGCGGGGAGGTAGCCTAGTTGTTAAAGCGAAGGTCCAGGTTCGATTCAGCACACGGGTGCAATGAATGATGCCCATTTCTGGTGTCCAAGTTGTGATGTTGCTCGAACATTGCTGAAAGCGGCGTAAAACCACACTCACCCACTTTCTGTGAAGACAAATGCCGAGTTTAATTCTCATTTGTGGTGTTGGGGAATGTGTAAGTCCCCTCGCTGTTCTAATACATTACAGTTCAAGCCGTATTTCAGGGTTATCTACAATAGGCAGGCACGTATACAAATTATGCTTTTACACTATACCTTCCCAACTTATCAAATTACATATATGCAGAATTTTTCCATCACAAGGGATAAGTATTTCAATGTAAAAACTGTTAAGGATATTTTTAGTACTGTTTATTTTCATTTAATTATGGAATTTTGAAAAGAAATAGAATTATTAGATAACTTTTGATGAGTAGTTTGTAAGTAGATATATATTTTATTATTGGTAGTTTGGATTAGAAACTGAGATTATTAGTGGCTGTACCCTTAAAGGGCGCTGACGTATTGTAAATTATTGTCCTCATGAATGTGTAAGTCCCAAAATTGTTCAAAGTTAATTTAAACCTACCACTATTTTTAATCGTAGGATATATGGGTTTTTTTTAATTTATGGCTAGATAATTGCCTATAGTTGAAAGGATGGTGTAAATCCAGCTAGGGTCCATGCAGGAAGCAAATGTTCTGTAAGTCACCATGGACCCTAGTATGGTGAACTACCTTCAGTTGTTGGCGATCTATAGCCCGTGTTTTATAGTGTACTGTCTTCTTCAATTAAATGTTTCAGATTTACATTCTAGTCTAATATTCATATGTGTGATACTCTAGGAAGTCCCTTGTCGACAGATTTTATTCTTTAAAATATGTTCACTTATAATGTATAAATTGTTTTCGTCACGATATGGCTGAGATATTGCCGATGTGACGTTAAATATTAACTCACTCACTCACATATATGCAGCTGTATTAATTTCAGCCTAAGGTTTATCTTTTCTTCCTCTATACGTCTCTCTAAAAAGTTACACCAGCACATACCTACCAGCAGATACGATTTATCACATACAAACATTATATCACATATATACTTACCTTACAAGTCCCAAACAGAGACGACAGGTAAGCTATTTCACATACAACAACTATGAAGTAACACATCTATACCTCAGTCCCCCTACCCATACCAGACAATAACTATGAATTAACACATACATACATCAGTCCCCCAACCCATACCAGACAACAACTATGAATCAACACATACATACCTCAGTCCCCCAACCCCATACCAGACAACAACTCTGAATTAACACATACATACCTAAGTCCCCCAACCAATACCAGACAACAACTATGAATTAACACATACATACCTCGGTTCCCCAAACCCATACCAGACAACAACTGCGAATTAAGACATACATACCTCAGTCCCCCAACCCATACCAGACAACAACTATGAATTAACACATACATACCTCAGTCCCCCAACCCATACCAGACAACAACTCTGAATTAACACATACATACATCAGTCCCCCAACCCATACCAGACAACAACTATGAATTAACACATACATACCTCGGTTCCCCAATCCCATACCAGACAACAACTATGAATTAACACATACATACCTCAGTCCCCCAACCCATACCAGACAGCAACTCTGAATTAACACATACATACCTCAGTCCCCCAACCCATACCAGACAACAACTATGAATTAACACATACATACCTCGGTTCCCCAAACCCATATCAGACAACAACTATTAATTAACAGATACATACCTCAGTCACCCAACCCATACCAGACAACAACTATGAATTAACACATACATACATCAGTCCCCCAACCCATACCAGACAACAACTATGAATTAACACATACATACCTCAGGCCCCCAACCCATACCAGACAACAACTACGAATTGACACATACATACCTCAGTCCCCCAACCCATACAACACAACAACTACGAATAAATACATACATACCTCGGTTCCCTTACCCCATACCAGACAGCAGGTACGAGCTGTGACATAATACCACATTTGCCGTACACCGCACCAGACAGCAGGTTGACCTGTCACATATATATCTTATCTATCACTCGTGATTACATGTACGTGAAATACATGTACAGTCATACGAAAGCATACACACACACTATGCATCGAGAAAACCTTGAAGACTTAAAGATGAATATACTAAGGCCTGATATATACACCCATATGTTCTGAAATACATACATTCAACGAATCTATTTGATATTTTCGATAGCAAAGAAACATCCAAAGAAACATCACATGGTCATGGCGGTAATACTCACCGGCTGAATGTTATCGGTGTCGGTGCACTGTACTCCCGTGCCCAGACTGCATGTATGGCAGGTCACTGCAAATGCGCAGTAACAGCTGCAGTTAAAGGCGTAGGTAGTCATGCAAATCACGCCTTTTGAAACATGCACTTGGGGGACTCACTACGCACTAGACCAGAAGAAATTGACGTGAAAATATAATATCCTAGCTATTTGTGATAGCAAGCCAATTGTTGCAGAAACTTTTTCACAGATGTATATTTATCATGTGCACATAACCCAAGAAAAATCAAGAATGAGGAAATAGCTTTTGATGGTGCCCAAAAAAGGGACCAAAGCTTTGATTTCAGCAAACTACACAAAGACAGTTGTAAGGAGATAGCACCGTTGCTGTGTAAACAGACGCCTGTCAACTACCAAGCGGTCTCAGGACGCCGACCTTTCGATTTTCCACTAGTCTCAGGATGCCGAGCTGCGGTTTTCTTTGTTTGATGGTAAGGTTCTGTTTAGGCGTAATTAGGGTTTCCGATAATCTACTCTAGATGTTTTGATAAGGTGAACTCGTCGCACAAGGTGAAGTACGCTGGTCCACTATGCTGCTGGCCAGAAGCGTCCGCCCAAGAAGAAGAAATACAGGGACTTGGAGCGACGACTGGATGACATCCGTCACCAGTTTGGACAAGGAACACTGTCTGATTCAGCATCCCACCTGTTGCATTTGGGTTAAAATTTGTGAATCAACTTCTGTGAAAAATGTGTGGAATAT